TTTCCATTTTTCAAAATAGAGCAAGCTGTGTCCTCAAGCTCCTCATCTGAAGTATGATATATGAAAACTTTGTGTGATTCAACTAACTCCTTGGAAGCCATTAATTTGATCTGATCACAAGCACAATATTAGTATAATTCATTAATTATATTATCTAATAAATAAATAAAATATTAATTCAACTTAAAATGCTTGAAACTAGCCAGTAAGCTAAGCGAAATGAATTCAATCTACATATATTTAATTAGTTTAACTATAAGGTTCACTAGGAATGCCACTGTTCATAAATGAATCAAGTGTTCTTTAGTAGCCTTGTGCACTGTATAAACTACATATTTAGACATGAAATTTTTTTTTTATTAGCCAGTTAATTAGATATAATAAACAATAACTATTTCAATTAAGAAAAAATAATTTTTTTGCAAAACGAATTTTATTTTCTTTTCCGGGTAATTGACATAAAAAGAAATATATATATATATATATAAAATTGTAAAATCGCATGGTTCAGCAATTATATTTTTTACCCTCTTTCAACTGCATAAAAAACATTCACTATTCCAGAGTTTGGTCCCTAATTCCATGATTAGGTTGGGAGGATACCAACTCTCACTTTAGAGCTCCCACTTCTCCCTCACCTGAGGGCTAACAATCTCGCATTAGTTTTCAATCAACTGGACCAAATTGAAGATTTTAATCTGTCACCTTAAAATTTCAAATTATGGATCTAACAAAGTATATTTCTTTTTTTATTTGCACAAAAACCCATGGATGAAATACTCTCCCATGAAATCAAATGTGATTCTCCCCATGTTGTTGAAATCATAGCCCTTTCGGAACATATGTTTCTCAACACATTTTAACATTTCAATTGGCTGGATCAAAAAGTAAAAGAAGATCAGAGTTCAAATCATCACAAATTATTGACATTTAAAATTGTATAAAACAAAATAAATTCTTTACAAAATCATATCTCAAAGTAAGTAGAAGTATAAAGAAGACTACTCAGAATTCATGAGAAGAATATGACAAAACACAGATTTTATATATAAAAACAAGTTTACAAAAAAAAAGAAATAAATGAAACAACTTATCTCACAATCCTTCCCAAGCAAATTCCTAGAAGTTCTCTTCAAGACTTTCTCTCTTTACAAGCACTCTCAATTCTCTCTTAGAAGTATAATGAAGAAAAAATTTCTCACCTTCCCTCTCCTTTTACAATCCTTGAAGAAAATCTCTAAGCCCTTGACTTTCTCTCTCTCTCTAACTCTCCTTGTCGGCCCTTCATGCCACACAACTCTCCTTAAAGCCCTAGAATTCCCTCTCTTTTATCAAAGGTCGCCTCCCTCCAAAAAGAATTAAAAAATTCCCTCCAAAATTTTGTCCAAAAGTAAACTATTTTGAATTAAAAATACATGTTCATTGATCCAAGAGACATATCCCTTCATAAAAGAACCTTC